GTAAACTTGGCACAGCTGAGCGGGACTCCCACAGACCGCACAACACATGACATGTACTGTAGCTAAAAGTGCAGCAGTCGTTGAAGTTCACAGAGTGACTCACATTTTTCCTCAGAAAGAAGGGATTGTATAATTTGGCAAGGAGAGTGAAAGCAACAGCCCATCTGTTGAAAAGGTCGAGATCTGAGCTTCGGACTTGGATGTTAGGAAGCTAGAGTACAAAGCGTTCATTACAAGGCAGAAGCTTGTGGAATGGTCACTGAAAGGTCACCAAAAGGTCAAAAGCCCATCAAGCTGATTGCTACTTCTCCGCCAGAACTGGAAGTCATATACAGAGCACAGAGTGCGATGCTAAAAACTGATTTAAAGTTCAAAAACAACCTTATATGTTTTCTTGTCTAATTAGTTGTATAGTTAGTGCCAGTAATTAGCACTGCCTTCACGTGTTATCCCAAAGTTCCAACTTCCCACTCGTGATTACGAGCTTGTTGCATTCAATTGTTTTGTTGTCAGAAAGAACAGGAATCATATAGAGGACACCAGTGGGCATCATTTATAAAACATGCACGCTTAGAGTTTGCGCTAAAATCCACGCCAACGTTAACATAAAAACAACCTAAAACGGTGTTTGACATAGAAAAGTGCCTAGCGTCACATCAGGGTCAAAGCAGACGTGTGCACTTTTCCTTGTAAACGTTGACTGGTGCTCTTTTATATGTTAATGATATTAATTAGGGGGCGATTTGAAACCATTTATCTATGCACAATTTCAAGATTTGGAAGAGAGGCGTACCAACGTTTTTTTTTGTTGTTGTTGTGCTTACGTTCATTCTCTGAATCACACATGCACTTATGAGAAATGATCGGAAGATCATGTAGGACGGTTTCTACAAACATTTTATAAATGAGAACCTAGGTTTATTTCTGCCCTATAGGGGAATGCGCATGACGTCACCGTCGGCCGTCACCCATATATTTTGTATTGTTATATATATTAACAACTCATCAATTAAATTTTCATCATTGCATATTCTGCATTATTGGATGTTTTTTTAATAAACACTGGCCAAAAAAAAAAAAAACGATAAAGTTTTAGGGCTGGACGATATGATGATATATATAGGCTAGGCTATTTATAACACTATTATAAGTGATCAGCCGGATTTAGACCTATATTGTATTTATATAAAGCGTTCACAGGCAAATTTGCTTTGATTAGATCTATACTGCTTTTATTTCCCCGGTGTCGAAATCAGGCAAACATAAATGTCAGGCGACACAATTCCTGGCTGCATGTCAATATCCATGGATCATTGGATCTTTAGTTGTAAGGAACACTATATTGAGTCCAACATTTAATTTAAATTGATAAAATTGTTCGCATTTTCGCAGTTTCCCCCTATTAAATCAAGTGTACGGCCTGTATCAAACTGATTCCTGAGCTTCCTGTGATAAATATGACTTGAGAGGCCAATTTTTAACTCATATTTAAGATAATTTCGATTTCATGTAAAGGTAGCATAAGTAACCCAGAACACCACCACTTCCGTTTTCGTTAGAAGATGTTAAAAGTTTATAAGTCGGCTATAAAACTGTGTCATCAAACATTGTGCACACTGGCCAATGCTTCTTCCAATTATGTTCATGCTGTGCCAAAATCAGTAACAATTCCTCAGAAGCTCCATAACACAGTGAACATGAAAGTGAGCACATTCCTGGAGTCTGAATCCAAACCTTGCACCTCTAGAGTCCAAACCTAATTCTTCTTTATGTATAATGAGGACCAGTGAGACTAACTTTTAAGAGTAAATAACATTAGTGGTTTTGTTCCCAATGCATTTAGTATGACATGATAAAAACTCAGACTGCGCTCATCTCAGTGCACACAAGATCTTTGAAATGTCATTTGTGGGAACTGATTCACTCTGTGCTGTGTTTAAACTGACAGGTTGTGTGAGAGAGATTAAAACCAGATATACTCTACTTTACTTGACATGTTTATTGCCTTATAAAGCTAGTCAACCATTTTTTTTGGTCATTTACTGTATATTCTACAGATAGAGGACAGAGTATTATTTTTTTTATTTTTGAGAAATTAATATATTTTTAACAAATGAAATTGATTAAAAAAAAATTTAAATGACATGTAAATAAAATAAAAACATATTTATTTTAGTAGTTTATTTATTTACATTTTCTGAAGAGGAGCTTCTTCATGCAAAAGGCGTTTCCTTATGATTCAAAGTTTGATATTCTGGTCACCTAAAAAGCGTAATACCTAGATTTATTGAAATCCTTAACCCTAAGCATTAGCAATATAAACAACCAAAGAAATAACAAGTGAAGGGGTCAATAACAATTCAGATGGTAAACTCAACAAGGCTCCAAGGTTTTCAAAACAAGCGAAGGTAAAGACTGGACCCGGAAAGAAAATCAACATCTGGCGTCCCTACTGAGTTCACAGTTCTTAGTGCCCTGGTGTGTGACCAGTTTCTAAATGGCTTTATCTGCGCTTTAAAACACTGATGTGTGTGTTGCTGCACCTCTTAGAGACAAACAATGTTGTGTGTCAGTTGACTAGGTTCCTCTGGGAGGACAGGCACAGGCTGCATGACTCCTCCTCTCACGCAATGTTGTTTTGTCTTTCTTATGCATGCCTCATGCCTGCTTGTAATTCAAGTGTCTCTTTTCCAATTAGCTATGATAAATGACCTTGAAGAAATTGACTAAAACCAAATTTAAAGGGTTAGTTAAGTCAAAAATAAAATGTCATTAATTACCCTCATGTTGTCCGACACAGATGAGAAGAAATTGTTGAGTACGGTCGTTATTTTTGTTTGTTTGTTTTTGCACAAAAAAATAAGGTTGAATCATATGGACTATTTTAACAATGTCTTTACCTTCCTGGGTCTTAAAGGTCGTAATTTAATTGCTGTCTAAGGAGAGATTTCATCAAAATATTTTAATTTGAGTTCCCAAGATGGGCGAAGGGTGAACTAACCCTTAACAATCATCATTTAGGCCAGAAAACCCTGCCTGCTTTTTCAATATAATGAAAGTAAATGGGGACAGAGAATGTCAAGCTCCAAAATGAATGATTAAAAATATCCATAAAAGCACTTTACCACAACACTTTAGTCCACAAGCAGCACTTATATTTTCAGAAAAAAAAAAAATCATAATAATCATTTAATAAATAATATTTTTTTGAAAAAATAATTAATTTCTTAAAATAATACTCTGTTCTCTACACATATATACAAGACCAAAAAAATGATTATATAGTTTCATAATCTTTGTCACAATCTCTCATTCTTGTCGGTTTAAATAGACCAATTAAATGTATGTCTATGTACAATGTGATTAAACTACAGCCTCACTTTTCTGTCCACTGGAGATAAACCCAAACACCACTGGGAGGTAGAACAATTTATATTTATCAGTGTCCATCCGATACCGGGTCCCCTGAGGGAGAAGGAGGGAGGAAAAGGGGGGCATTATCTTCTATATACTTAGTCTGGATTAAAGCGGCCTTGTGATTGACCCTACTACTTTCTGGACTGTGTGATCCTGATGTGGTCGGTGCTCCAGCATTGTGTCAGATGATGCTGGATATAGGCACATTAACCCCCCTTGCCCTACACAGAGACATACAGGACACGGAGACATTAACACTCTCACCTTACACAGAGATTTACAGCTTTTTACTCGGGCTGCTTGGCTCAGCAAAGAAGGACCAGTGCTGCTGTCATGGCAGATTTATTGGGTAGGCTTACAGCCAGACAAATGAATCCTAAACAAAACAATAAAAATATATGAATTATGGTAAATTTAATTTAAAACATTGTTAATTAGATATGAATCATTTAATAAATATATCTTTCAGTCTGTCTATCAAAAACCAATGGTTGTCAGAGGGTTCCATTACATTGTTTACAAGCATGACATATCGCGACCAGACACTCAAATATGTTTCATAAAATGCCCTCTAACACAATAAAAAATAATGTCACTCAACACTAATGATAGTAATATAACTGTAGTCTTCTTAAGACTTCATCTTGGAAAACAAGAGCCCTTAAAAATAGGGAAAGTTAGCTCCTCCTATCTTTCCATCGACAGAGGCAAAGCGAGAACAGACAGGTTGCCTCTAGTTTCGTCCACAAAACATGAGAGAGGCTTTGAGACGAACGAACACAGATTTCCTCACAGCTGCAGGTCTGAGTTGGATAAAGAAAGCAGGATGAAAACATGTTTAGGATTAGTGTGAGACGGCAGCGGCTCTCACTTCACGTCGTCTTACCTTTGCTCCTAACCTTTTGGTGATGAGTCAATTCCGCGAATCGGTTCTTTTGAACAGTCTGTTTTAAAGAACGGTTAAAAAGAAAGAATTACGTGATTCATAAGCTACAACAGGCAAGAAAGCTATATGTGGGCACACACTGCTGATTATTATGCTCTTCTTTTAAGTTTGATCAATTAGGGTGTTTATTGTAATTAAATGCCACAAAGCTCAGTTCTTGCAGCCATTATGTTTAAATAGATAAAGTTTGGCATTTTTAAATAAAATTCTGTTTAGTGGTCTATTTAATCAACTCGTATTCATACTGATAAAACTTCAACGTAATTAATTAAGGAAAATAAATTCCAGTATGCCGATATGAATCCTAAAGAAACGGTCTAGGTGAGGTGACGAATCAGGTCCTCCCTCGAAATCGATCCGAATTGCTTTTAACAGATAGCATACTTTATGATTACAACTCTTAAAAAATCCTGTTATGATAAATACTGTTTTATACACTCATTTTCACTTGTCCCATGTATTTACAATAATCTTTAGGTGATTACATGTTAAATTAAGTGTCAAATATTGATAGTTGAAACCCGATTTGTCATGACACTGCAGAACCGCGCTATAACGGATTCAGTTTAAATTTGTGAGCCGTTCATTGAACTGATTCATTCCAAAGATTCGATTCAAAAGAATGGTTCTTTCACAAATCGGGCATCGCAGATCCCCTCCCCGACACCTTTCTCCAGTAGTGCTCCAGCTTTCCGACTCCTGAAGAGAGACACTCTCCGCCTGACATCCGTTAACCACCACAGCATCTCTGACATCCAAACGCTGTCACAGTAATTCGACTCATCGTTAAAGTGGTATACGGCACCACAACGCTGTTCTCCCGTCACACCGACTGATATTCTTAAACTTTAAATGCTGTTGTTATGGCTATCTGAAAGGTTTTAGAGGCAGTTAAAACTGCTAAACTGATGCTTGCATGAAACATTTTTGCCTACGATCTATTGGAGTCATCTCTCTTTAAAAAAAAAGAAAAAAAAAAAAAAGAAAAGAAATCTCGGGATTGTCGGCGATGTTGCTCTCCATCTTAATCGATACCTGAGACCAGGGGTCAAGAGTTAAGAATTTGTATTTGGTTCGGATCGCCTCACGTTTGAAGATCATTAAAACAGATCAAACTTTTATCACATATGACACGGATTATTAAAGATGAGACGCTTATTTTGACCATCACAGTGGGATAAAGTGCAGCGCATCATCACCGCACCTTCAGGATGTTCCGGCGAGGTAAGAAAAACATTTTAGATTATATAATTGCGTTTTTGCTGCAGTTCAAGCCGATGCGTGATGCTGAAAGTAGGTTACATTTCTATTCATTGCGCGCGCGTCCGAGTTTATTTATCAGAAACTCTTTACGAGGTTTTAACCAGGTTAGTTTCAGGGTTGTCTGGCTCTTTATGCTTTGGACTGTGCGCTGATGAAATATTAATACACAGCACGTAATATTATTCTTAAAAATAGACGAGCGATGCCGCACTGCAGCTGACAACTACCAGAGCTTACTAATTTCACGAGCGTAACTAGCCTACAATTAAAACACACACTTAGTGATGTTTATTATTAGACTAGGCGGTGCATGGTCTCCCATGGGACCAGTGTTTGGGAACTCTTAAATGCTGCCTCAGACACACACCAAGAAATAATAGTTGCATTCGAGTTTGCTGTCTTGCTCAATATAAATGGCATATGAGCTGTGATTTAAACTACAGAATAAGAAACATCCAGGTCATAAAAATCAATTGATCAACCCAAGTGTGTCCACAGAGAGGAGCTGTTTTACCTTTAGAAGACAGCCATGTCACTCACAATATATTTTTGCAGTGCTTTTAACTTTAGTAAATTGTAATTAGTTGTAGCTAATTACTTTGAATGCTCATTTGAGTCAGTTAGCGTGTTCTCGGAGTGCTCACACACATAAACACAAAAACACACACACAGACTTCATTCGGAAGAACCACTCAAAAACAAATGGTAGCCTATTTATTTACTTTATATCACACCCAACCCTTACATAAACATGTTATATTATTAGATGTAAACTATTTAGCTGATTTATGGAAATTTTAGCTTGTGTAGTTTTATTTCGGACATTTTCAAACCAGTACCTTTACACACACACACACACAGGCCTACGAAGAGACGCAAGTGATGACCTCTGCAAAGATTTTCGTATTAAGATAATGATATTAATATTAATAGAAGCACACCCCTAAACACAACCAGTTGGCTACATAATTTGGCTTATTTATAAGCCTTTCAAATAACCAAAAAACACTTCGGATGTCCTCTCAAGTCAGATTTTCAAAAACTCGAATCCTTACCCCCACACACAAATCAATTTTAATCCAAATGTCTTTCAAAATCAGCTACGTTCATTTGCATATTTGATTTTTAAAGCTTGCTGTGCTGCTATTGTGTACTTGCCTAAAAAAACCTTCTCCATCCGGTTATTTTTTCCTCTGAGGAGTGACAGCGGAGTCATAACACTTACTAATGCTCAGCCTACAGCTTCAAACCAGCCTGCTCTGGGAACTGCTTCCTCATTTTCTTCTCATTACAAAAGAATGTGTGGGTTTGAGCTGAGGCAAGAGATGGGATGGAGAAGGAGAGAGGGGGGGATTTGTTTGTGTGCTTAAATAATTCTGCGTCAGCTGTGGGACCGAGCCCCTCCTCAACGCAAACACACAATAACAGACAATAAAAAGATGAGGAGTTATGACTTTTTATTGTTGCCATTAGCAGTACGGGTCTATGCTTACAGCCCCGGGGTCCAGAAAACGGTCTGGAATGCATAATAATATTGTGTTTACAGGATGTCTTCGTCAAATAGCCGGGTTTCTACTAGACTCTGGGCTGGTGACACACTAGGACAACAAAATTTAGTCTCAGATGCCATATGTGAATTTAGCATTAGATATTTATGCATTTGGCAGACTCTATCATACAAAAGAGGCTTTGTTCGAGGTATACTTGCTATTGGTTTGTTGGTGCATTCCCTACCCGTGGCATAGTGTTATAGTTGAGTGAAATGCCAGACAGACAGTCAGACAAGTAGGTAGATAGGTGGTCATATGTAGTTTGATCGATAGATAGACTGACAGATTGATAGATAGAGTCAGACTGACAGTTAGTCATGAATGGATAGATGGACGTATGGATGGACAGTTAGTAGTTACATGGATGGATAGATAAATTGATAGTACTTATATGTTAATGGTTGGATCGATATCTATACCAGATAAATAGATAGTTAGTAGTTATGTACATGGATAGATGGATGGATAAATATCTAGATTAGATAGACAGATTTACATTTATGAATGGATAAATGGACGGATGATGTCTAGATATATAGACAGATGGACAGGTATTGGCGCAAAGATTTTATTTTATTATATATTTATTTTAGTTCGATGGGAACCAAACGATTCAAGGTCCAAATGAGAGTTTCAGTGCAAACTGCAAACTGTTCAAAGGGCTTTAAACGATTCCAGACGACGAATAAGGGGCTTATTAAGCGAAACGATCACTCATTTAAAAAAAACACAAAAAAAACAAAGTTTTATAAGTTCAAATGCTCGCCTTGCTCTGTTCTGTGATGCGCGTTCGCGACTCTCCGAACTCGTTCATCAAAATTAACGAATCTTTTCCAGAGTCAACTCGTTCATTTCGTTCGTTGGATGAACCGAATGACACGAAAAAAGATTTGTTAATTTTGATGAACAAATTCGAAGAGGATAGTTTGCACAGAAACTGTCTTTTGGACCTTGAACCGTTTGGTTCCCATTGAAGTCCATTATATGGAGAAAAATCCTGGAATGTTTTCATCAAAAACCTTAATTTCTTTTCGACTGAAGAAAGAAAGACATGGACATCTTGGATGACACGGGGGTGAGTAAATTATCAGCAAAAGTTTATTTAAAAGTGAACTACTCCTTTAAGGATCAAGTTGGGTAGAAATAGTGCACATTTTCTGCTTCTGAAACGTAAGCGACAAAATCCCAAATTCACACGTTCTTTCCCTAGCGCTGCCTGTAGCCTTCGTCTCATCCCCACAGAACCTAAGATGGAGATGTTAAGTGTAGATGAGATGATTCTGCGGGACAAAAGACTCGTGGTTTTTTTTTTGGCAGGTGAGATTGTGGATTTGAAGCAGCAGGAGCCCACTGGCTGCTTGCTATAATGAGCCTGATTCTTTTTCTAGCCACTTCTGCGATACCCTCTCTTAACCCCAGATTGCTCCGGGTCCTCTACAATATGGCACCTCTATTTCCATTATCCCTCCACCTGGGTGAGAGCCTCAGCCTCGGAGTAGAAGCAGCGCAGATTAAATAAAGGTTTGAAACACACAAAAAAATCTATTGGCTGAAGCGCAGGCAGGAAACAGGAGGCTACTTACCATACAAAGTGCTACTGGCTGGGCAGTGAGCCGATGCCGCTCGTTGGCCCATTTTAATAGCTTGTTCAGTCACACACGCAGCCAGAAAGAAACGATTCTACGTACACCCCCCACCTGTGGCGGAGAAAAACTCCCTCAAACCTACTCTTAATGATGATTCACTGCAAGTGTGTGTGGGAATGCTGCATTCCTCGCTCTATAATTTAGAAACATTTCTATGTTTGTAGGTGTTTGTGGCCTGAGGCATGCATGGATGTGGCCAATCAATAGCACACTGCGTTTACTAAAATATCACTGTAAGGCCGTGTGTCCACCAAAGCGTTTTTCCACGCGCCTGGCGTATGTTTTCAATTGTTTTCAATGGGAGCGCCGCGTTTTTTAAACGCCATGAGCGTACCGAGGCGCTGAGCGTTTTTTTCACGCTGAAGCGCCGAGCGTTTTTACTGGTCGCTGGGAGTTGAAAAAAATTTTCAACTTTGGATAAAACGCAGCGCTCATCACCGTCCAATCACAGTGGAGGAGGGGCGGGACTAATACCACACAGACCAACTGTCAACATTCAAAATGCTGCGGGTATTCTGTATCATAGCAACGAATAAAACTCAACGGACGTCTCAACGGAAAAAAACGCTCTCAAGCGCCCAAAGCAGGGCGTCTTCAGCAGAGCGTCTAGCGTTTTCAGCTGACTAAAAACGCTTTGGTGGACACACGGCCTAATGCTTTTTTCAGATTACACAATTTTTTGTCTGTTACGATAGTCACTAGGGTTGGGTATCATTTGAATTTGAACGATTCTGATTCTGATTCCTTGTTTCGATTCCGGTTCCTAACGATTCTCGATTCCGATTCTTTTAAGAGGCAGGGTCAAAAAAGTTTAGCTAACCTTGCTAACCAACGGCCTTTCTGAAGGAAATAATCCTTTCTGAAGGAAATACTCCTTCTGTAAAAATACTCCTTTTGTCACAAATTTTGAATTTTGCCGAGATTTCGTTATTTTTAGAAAAGTGAAGCCACACTTTGGACCGCCGACGTAAGCTACTCATGTTCGACTCGCGTGGTTATGCCAACACTTCCGGTAGACGCTTCTTCGTTGGTGTTGTTCAGCGGTTTCTTCTTCCGCTCGGCGGACTGTGAATATCGAAACTAGGAATCGAAATTTTTACTTTTGAACGATTCCGGGAAAAACGAAAAGTTAGTCCCGGTTCCAATCGATACTCGATTCTCGATACCCAACCCTAATAGTCACTGTGTCAGATTACACGATTTTGACTCCTAAAATCTTGTCGTGCGGTGGACACATGTCAGATTAAACGTTGCTTCCTGACCAGTCCTCGCGTGCCGTCTTTAACGTGTCATCGTGAAGGCGAAACTAGTAGCGAGTGACTTCCAGAAACGAACGTAAACAAACAATGGATGAAGCGGTGAGTGTTGTATTGGCTGTCCTGTGTTCAGAAAGAAGTTTAAAAAAAAGAAAGAAAACCCGAAAATGGACACGTTCCTGGACTGCTCGGCATTGCCTTTTCAGCGTGAGAAATACATGGTGTGGCGTGTGAGCGTGTGAACTGGTTGAATTGCGCGTGTCTCACGGCCATTGCGTGAGATTTGAGAAACCTGCTGGAAGAGGACAGTATGGGCTGTCAATCCTCCAAAGAGAGCTTGAGGTAAAATATTGTTTTCTTATATATTTTTACTTTTAGTTTTGAACGTTAGCACCATCGTCTCTCTTTCATTTCGCCATTTTTGAAAGTTGTGTACGGAAAAGCTTGTGCTCCTATTGGTCAACCTCATATATGTGAAAAAAAATAAAAAAATAAAAAATAAAAAAATT